TGTTCAACACCATATTTGGTATAAACGCAAACACTTTAAAATTTAAAATCAAACTCAGCGTTGCTTTGGCGCGTTCCAAAACCAATAACTCATTTTCAATAGCATTTTCGGATACAACAACACATATTTTCGTTGTCCTCTTATTACTAAGAGAAAAAACCAAGAACAACATCTATTCTATACCTGAAGATGTCTGTAGGAACAGACGAAAGCTTGTAGTAAAAATAACAACTAATACGGCAGAAATTTATATAAACAAGGATCAATTCATTCATAACGTATCTGGAGGTTTTTGTATACTATTTGAATTGTTTGCGATGATGGATGTCTCGCCATTTAAAGCATTAACCTTTGCATTAGTTTTGTGTGAATAATTCATGTATTTGTAAATTGATTGCACGTTTATCGTAATTTAAATATGTATATATGTATATGTATGCGTTGCCTACATAATTATATTTATATATATATATATATATATATATATATATATAATTATGTATGCAACGTATACATAATATGTACAGTTATGTATACAATATATACACTATATTACATCATCAACCTTTATTAAATCTATTCTCAAAGAATCGAATATATATGTAATTACTAAAACCTCGACCAGTGTTGACGTTAAAAAAAACAATCAACATGCGAACATCCAAACATAAATAATACCTACTCCACACACACACACACACACACACACACACACACACACATATATATATATATATATATATATATATATATATATATATTATCATCCGAATACAGCACGTCCTCAGTATAACGATAAACTACATCCACCATCAAGGCCTCTGATTGGAGGAGTTTTTAAGGCGCGTGGAACCACCTCTTAATTGCTGCTATTCCCAGTCCCCCCTTGACCCGAGGTGCTAGTATTTGTTAGGGTCACAGCTATGGGTAATATAGTTAAACCCTCAAACTGGGGTTAAAACTCTATGAAAGGATAAAAATAGATTTTTATAGTAAAAATACCAGCAATACATTTTTTGAAAAAAATTGTTTTACCAGCAGTAAATTGGGTTCTCGACAAAAACCCTCTTTACAAAAATACGTCTTGAAACCTTATTTTCAAACTGATTTCTTACAAAGAATACATATTCTATTCATACGAACCTATCCAAAAATCTGGTCGGCGCTAAATAACGCATTGAGGTTGATATGCTGTAAAACAAAATAAACCAAACCAAACCTAATCCCACATAGACATAGTATTATTACAATCTATTTTTACACATAAATTATACCCACGAACGCTACCTGATAAGTGCTATTTCACGTGGTGCTTAACCAATGAAAATCAAACAACATAAAAATAAAAATACTAGATATTTCTTCCATATCTCATTCTCTGATGAAGCTTTAATAAAAGCGAAACATGTTAGATTAGGTTTTAAACGTTTCCTATTTGTTATTTATCCTATTATTTTATCTGATCCATATTTAATCTGTATTCGATCCCAATTCATATATACAATTAAAAAAAAAAATTATGTTCGCTTATCTTGGCTATACTTTGAGTCTCGCAGAATTACATCCACTCTTCAGGAGACTTGATGGTAAAGTAGTTAATTCCGAGTAGAGGCAAGGTAAGCGAACATGTTTAATTTTATTATTATTAATGTTCTGTCTCTTGATATCAAGCACTCTAATTAGAACAATTGCTTGCCTTAAAAACTCAATCTTTCATAATTACCGTAGATAATATTTTTCTTTTTTTTCTTTTTTGGCGTAATACAATCTTTATTATTGCTACATATAATTAGGTGTATGCAAAAGTTTAAAACTTAGTCATTTTGCTGCGTAGTTAGTGTCTAGTTTTCTAAAAACAGTGCTAGAAGCTTTTGCATGCTTATATGTGTGTGTGAGAGAGAGAGTACTGTGTGGCTTGCTCGATGTGTTCTTCAACTTATCCAAGGTAAACTTTGACAGTTATTTCCCCAATATTCTTTCTCTATGCATATTTTAAGCTTTGAACTTATTCCAGTTGATAATGATACGATTGATTAATTGATTTGTTTTTTTTTACGGTTTATCAACCCTTTGTAGGTTATTCAAAGGCTAAATATATTTTGGATGGCAAGTATAATTCCTCCATTGCGAATGAATATTGCATTAACGATCTTTTTGAGAATAACAATGATTTTTCCAGATACAATTCCTACTATTTAACCCATAGCTGGTGGGGAATATGGATTCGTTCCTTTCCCAAATATATTTATGCGTGAGTGAATGTGATGAATCCGACTGGAATTCAAATTGTATATATATATATATATATATATATATATATATATATACACAAAGCATGGTCTAATGATCGCCTTAAGGCTTGAACTGAGGATCACAATGCAATGTTGATTCCTATGTTCCTGCTGACTACATTTACAAATACTCCAACACTGAGCTCTCTTCTACCGTAAATATAACCTATTTTAACTAATATATATATTACGTATGTGCGTGAGAGAGAGAGAAAAAATGTGCATGTGTGTGTGTGTGTGTGTGTGTGTGTGTGTGAGAGAGAGAGAGAGAGAGAGAGAGAGAGAAAGAGGTAAAGAGAAATGATGACACTCAAAGTTTACCTAGAAAATTTGTAAAAACTAACGGTTAAAATGCTGTGAAGAAGCCTATATACATATACATATATAATTTTGTGTGTGTATACATACATGCACACACACACACACACGCACACACATATATATATATATATATATGTTTATCTGTACACACACACACACACACACACACATATATATGTATATAAAGAGATAGATAGATACCTCCCCAAAATTGATACCTAAGTTTAAAACGCATTTTAAAAAAATGAATAATCTTACTTGAATCTTTAATTTTAGTTTTAATTCCAACCTAATAGATTAAATTTAGTATTTCCAATAAAAAAAAATACTTTAGTGTATTTCAAACCGAATTTAAACTAATTGGAATCTGTTTTCCCTCCCTATCAGTAAAATCGATAAATTCGTCCATATTAGACAGAGCTGTCAACAGTTCAACAAAATATAAAAAATTCTTGTAAAATTTCATGAATCGTCGAAAAACTTTTTTCTTTCAGAAAATAGTGTCCATAAAATATTTTATTCATATGAGTAATTAAAAGCATCGCTAATTAAATAATATCTTAGTTTTATTTAATTTTTTTATTTTTTATTTTAAGATTCAGAGCAGATTTTCTGTAACTGGTGGTCCAGTTTGAACAAAAACATTCATAATTTAAATTTTCTGACGACTTGTCCTTATGACTAATATAAATAATAAAAACTTACAAAAATAGAATTTCTTGAAATTTCATAAAATTAAATAAGTGTATATGGGGGTGGGGGAGGTAACAGATGTAAAAGAATATTTTTTTCCAAGAATTTCTAAAAAAAAAAAGAAATGTTTTACTGTTAATTTCATTCGTTTGTGAATATGCCCTGAAAGTTTCCATAAAATCCGACATCTGATTTTTATAAAAAATTTCCTCATGAAGTTGTTTTTCTCCACAAAAAGATGATCAAATTTCCCGTACTAATTTATGACCTCACTTTGACGCCAGAAATACAAGATTTATAAGCAAAAATTCGCACCCAACAAAACAAATTACATAAAAAGGTCTTCAAACTTTCCTCCTTATAATTATAAAAAAATTGTTTTATTATGGTTCAGATATTTTTTTATTATGTACACTCTACCTTAGCGAATGTTAAGATGTATATATATATATATATATATATATATATATATATATATATATATATATAAAGAGAGAGAGAGTGTTAAGTAATTGAGATAACCAGATATTAGCGACCGTATACGCGTGTGCTGGTGTGCATACGCTGGTAAGCAATTAAATAATTACAAAGTTTAGCCAAGACATGTAGACATAATAGTGCTCAATGTGATTAGACAGAGCTAAGAAATATATACATATACCTACGTAGGTATAAGTGTATTTATTAACACACACACACACACACACACACACACACACACACACATATATATATATATATATATATATATGGCCTGACGATTGCATCTAGCCTGAAACATACTGTCGCCTCTAAGTGTTGACTTCTATGTTCACTTTTATATTTACACACGCTCTCTCTCTCTGATATTGAGCACTTTATCCATAAATAAAGCACATCTTAAGACTATATTTCTTCATATATATATATATATATATATATATATATATATATTAAATATAATTAAACATATTAAAGATAACAGACAATAAATGACTATTATATCTGATCATGTGGCGTTCTAATGTTCAAATGTTTGCTTTAATTTCTGGTGAAAATAAAGAAAAAATTGTCCGACATTTTTTTGTTAAGTTGGTCCTAAACTTTCGGCTCTCATGAGCCATCGTCAGAGTGTTTATACAGACATGAAACAAAGATGATATTTTGTTATTTGACGCAGAAAATTGATATGCGACGATAACGGTCCAGGAATAGCAGACGCTGATCGTAAGTTCAAGATGCCGTTCTATGACGTCATACCACGCGATAGACTAGACCGAAGTATTACAAAAGTCTAGACGCAATGTAATGTGTTGGGACTAGTTTGAAATGTAATATATATATATATATATATATATATATATACAAATATAGGTAACTATACTCGTTTCGAAAAACCTTCGAATTTTTGATTTGCCAATAATCAAATCAATCTCGAGGGAAAAAAGGTTTTAAAAAAAGAAAGAGCTAGAAACATGAAAGTTTGTCGAAAAATCGCACAGATACAGGTTTAAAGCCCAAAGAAAAAACCCGACACGAGTAAACAACTAACAAAAGAGCTTGATACAACCGTAGAGCATATATATATATATATATATATATATATATATATATATATATATATATATATATATATAGGTCATGCATGGTCTGAATGGTATTACTGAGCACGCTTCCCATTAAATATGGTAAATTTTAAACAATATACATGCATACATAAGAGTGTGTGTGAGAGAGAAAGAGAGATAGAGAGAGAGAGATAGAGAGAGAGAGAGACTGAGAGAGAGAGAGAAGGAGGAATGATGACACTTAAGGTTTACCCGGGAAAAGTTGAAAACCTTAAAGACGTTGGGATAGAAAAAAAGTTAATCATTCATGAAACAATGTGAATACGTCATCTTCAAGTTCACTACATATGTGAGTGAAAAATTTGCCGGATCACAATTTTTTTCAATTTTTATCGTGCGTGACACGTTAAACGACATATAGCGACAAAAAAAAGGGGCCAGAAAAGGCCGATTATAATGACTCACCTCCGGTCCCAGTACCTCCTCTTCCTTTAGACGCTGAAAGGATCACAAACATTTAGAATTGCACAGGATTTGGGAACTCTGATCAAACAGGCTCATATCAGTTAATGTACAAAAAGGAACAAAAAAAATGAAATGAGAGTTTGACCTCTAGTATAGATCCTTTATGGGTACTATTTGCATAAATAGTTTATTGGTAACTCTAATAGACTCGGAATATTTGTAACATGATTGTTGTTACTAATTATTAAGCTTAGATTGATTTATATCGGAATGTTTCAAACGAGGAATTACCATTATTACATATGCCTTTTTATCCTGATCAGCATGCTAATTTTGTTTATTATACCGGCCACGTTTCACGACTACAAGAAGGTCAAATATGCTTTAGCCGACGCTTTAATTTACAAGGCTATATATTTATTTACTGAGCGTAGCTTAGATGTGACTCAAGGCCGAAAATATGGAGCACCCAGTTTAATGGTCACCTGTGGCGTAGCAGCTCAGACCAGACAACAGGTTCATTTTCAGGTTGCAGCTTCTTCCTATCAAACCCTTGTGACTTAAAAATAACCCTTCGGACCTGTTTTAAAACCATGATAATTTGTAGCAGTAAACCCGATTTTATTCTAGTTGTAACCTTCTGCTGTAGACGAGCGAGGTACAGTTGAGTCATGTTGAAGAAGGAGAACCGTCTAACGGGTGTGTCTTGCTTTTTACCGAGCGGCCCTCTATTCATCTGTGTATTTCTGACTTTTACTCCTAGGAACAGTTATCTCATAGAGGACAACAGCTTTTTCTCATAAAAAAATCATCCATCAAGAATTCAGGGTCTGGATTCACTCAGTGACCTTATTTGTCAGGATCGTTTGGACTGTTTGTTGAGAAGTCCACGCCATTAAGCAGATATTCTTTGCCAAGACAAATAATTATGAAAACGATTTCTGCAACGCTTTGCAGGTGGGTCCTTCGTAAGGTATCAAATGACACTGATATCGCTCCACACCGAAGGAACCGATACAGGTGTTCCCGGGCTTAGAGACTTTGCTACTTAGTAGTAGGTGAAAGCTGCAGTAATAGGGTTAAAATTATGAAAATAAGTTTCGTCAAAATATAAAAATAGGCATTAATCACATATAAATGCATACATGTGTTTAGATGTCATTTTTGCGAGATTGCTACAAGGTGACTCCTTAGGGGTGAGGAAACTATGATCTGTCCTTTAGTTACTGTCGGTCAAAGAAGCAATACAGTAATTACCTGTTCCCTGCTATTAAGTGTGAAATTCTCCTCTACGACACCATGTAAACCTTTTATCATTTTGAGGTTGTTTCTGTTTGGAAAGTGTTTTCCTTGTTTGAAATGTATTTTGTTTATCCATTTCTTTTTTTTTTTTTTAGAGATATATTTGTTATTTTTTTTTTTAGTTTTCACGGTGTATTTCGTAAATAAAAGGGTAACCTCAGTATGAAACGTGGAGGTTTTTCATTGACAGCAGAAGTCTACTATAGTTAAAACAGGACCAGCAATTACTGAGCAGTACTAAAATTAAACAAGAACAGATATCCATAGACAGTGACCGTGGGACCAAAAGAATCAACTCTAAGGAGCTTAATTCGAAATTCCCTGAAAGTTACCTGAATCCACAGATACCTGACGAAGGACAGGGGGCGCAACAAGTGGTAAAGTCTTACTAGATCAGGGTTTCTTAAATAGGGAGTGGCGATTCTCCACTAGGGCGGAATTTCAGGGTTTCAAACAGTTTTTTTTTTACTTTTTCTTATTCTTACATAATTTGAAGCCCATCACGAGTGTCAAACAAAGACGGTATAAAGACTCTTCTATTCGCATCCGTCATCATCAGCGGAGAAGAAGAAGTAGCCTGAATCGCCTCCGAACAGTTTTTGGTCACCATAGAGCCAACCTTCATAAATGGCGATAGGCCACCGATGCTGAGCCCAACTGCCAATTCGGGTAATTACAACCTACGGAACATTTTCTACTTTGCCCCAATCTTGCTTAACAACCTTGAAACTTTAAAACCCCAGGCAACACAGAATGGGTGAGCAACACAGATGGGTGTGCAACACAGGATGGGTGTGGTGTAGCGATTCGATAAGCGGAAGAATGGGGATGAAAGGCCTCAGTGTGTATTTTGTTGCAAAACATTGTCAAATAATTCTTTGAAACCAACAATGTTGTAGCAACATTTATATAAAATATATTTAAAAAAAATATTCCATGTAAATGTACACTACCGTTCAAAAGTTTGAAGCCACACCCAGATGAACTTGAGAGAAGTGTGAAAAAAAAAATTGAAAAAGTACTCTTAGTCATTGAAAAAAAAGAATGGAATCAATTATCAAAATTATACTTTGAGAAACTATTGCAATGAATGCCAAAAATGTGTGCTGCAGTAATCAAGGCTAAAGGAGGATATTTTGTCGAGAGCAAAAGTTAATCATAAATTGTTTTTTTTTTCTTTTTGTCATAATAAAATCTCTAATAAAAAACAACATGTCTCACTTTTTTTTAACCATGTATAATAATTTTCTCTTATTTGAAATAAAACAATTACTTTTTGGGACCATTTAAAAAAAAAATTACCATGGGTCGCGTCAAACTTTTGAACTGTAATATATATGTACTAATATGGAAAAGAATGAAGATTTTCAATAATATATGTATTAATAGCAGTAGATAGGTTTGCATGTCGCCCTGTTCGCACACTTTCCCAGTCTTTTGAACAGGAATAGAGGTTTTACCCTTGTTCTCTATTTAGGATTGCGTTTTTGGTTCTTTCCAAAGTCTTTTTCTTCTTTTTCACTTCCAGTAGCCCCTTACATCTTAGTGGCATTATCGTCTTGCTTGCAGTGAACTGATTATATATATATATATATATATATATATATATATATAATATATGGAATACACCTTTTGAGTCAGACAATTTTCTGTAGCTATTAAATTTAAAAATATCTTTAATAAAAAATAATCCATGCGAATTCATATGTACTAATATGGAAAAGAATGAAGATTTTCAATAATATATGCATATTATTTCGAATGCTCTTTTGAGTAGAACAATCTTGAAAAGGGTCGGAATGGCAATATATGATTGTTTATTATTATTATTATTATTATTATTATTATTATTAGAAACTCAGTTTAGTGATTTTTTAGATATTAAACATTTTGTGGGATGGACAATTATAATGTAACACGATTTGGACAATTTTGCTGTTACACTCGGTATATATAATAATATGGAAAAGAATGAAGATTATAAATCATATATGCATTAATAGTAGCAAATAGGTTTGCATGTCACCCTGTTCGAACTCTTTCCCAGTCTTTTGAACAGGAATATAGGTTTATCCCTTGTTCTCTATTTGGGATTGCCTTTTTGGTTATTTCCAAAGTCTTTTTCTTCTTTTTCACTTCCAGTAGCCCCTTACATCTTAGTGGCATTATCGTTTTGCTTGTCGTGAACTGATTATATATATATATATATATATATATATATATATATATATATATATATATATATATATATGGAATGCACCTTTTGAGTCAGACCATTTTTCTATAGCTATGGAATTTTTAAAAAACCTCAATAAAAAATAATCCATGTAAATGCATGTGTACGAATATGGAAAAGAATGAAGATTTTCAATAACATATGCATATTATTTTGAATGCACCTTTTGAATGCACCTTTTGAATCGGACAATCTTGGAAAGGGGGATGATATTCTGGCATATACTGAAAAGACGGTCATTGGACAAAGAAGTTTAAGAACTACTCTAATAGATGATATATTTTGATTTATGCCTTTTATTTATATCAATTTCTTTTTAATCATTTCACTCCAAGGCAATAAAGCCACTAAGACGCAAGTGATTATAGAGAGTGGGAGAATTAGAAAAACAATCTTTTGTCTCATTATTCGCTCCTATAAACCCAGGAATTTCAGAAAGCTGACGGTAGCTGACAGTATTCTTAGCACTCACAGGACATATCGAAGTCAAGAGGGAAAGGACAAAACAGTGAGTAACCTACCCAACGAGCTTGGCAGAACAGGGATAGCAAAAAGACGAAATTCACTAAGAGCTAGCAGGAGCAGGAAGTTGTGGAGGACCATTATTGCGTACGTCCTGAAGGGATACGGTACATAAAAAATAAAATCACTGAAATCCTCTGAATCGGACTTTGCTAGTCCCATCTCGTTTTCACCTTGCAGCTCTGACGTGAAATATGTACTGAGGTCCTGGTGAGACAACGGATCTCCGTTAAGCCCCACGTTCTGCTTCGTGTTGCACACGGCCATTTTGATTACTGCCATTAGTGTGAGGAACATTATGCGTTTCGGTCCTTCCCATTGAGGAGTCACATTGTGTCTCCTTATCATTTTGAGTTTGTTTCAACAATTGTTATTGTTTCTGTTTGAAAAGTGTTTTCCTTGTTTGTGCATTTCTTTGAAATGTATTTTGTTTATCCATTTCCCCCTTTGAGAAATATATTTGCTATTTGTTTCTAGTTTTCACGGTACATTTCCTGTATAAAAGGATAGGATAACATATGTATGAAGCGTGAACCTTTATCACTGAGACCGGCGGCCAGCTACACCCAGTGTGGATCGAATCCACTTCGCAGTCGTAATTGATCTAACAAGACAAGCTTACTAATACTACGCCATGTCTACATGAACTCTACTAGGCTATAAGTTTCTTGAACAGTTCAGTGGTGTAGTTTTATCGCCTTTACACCTAGTGTGC